GCTTGATAATTGAACTTCATCTAGTAACTAGTACACCTAGAACCCGGGTTGACATTTAGGACCCGAATCACTATACTACATTCCTAGATTACTCTTATACTTGGTCGTAATTTAGTTGTGTTGGTATTGACATGTCAATGAGCTGCCCGAGTTGATATTCGAAATACTTGCTTTATATTACACTCGATTAAGTTTCACTTGACCTTTGATTGAGATAGTATTAATCGCGAGCAGACCTGGATGACAAAATTCAAAAGAGAGAGAGAGAGACCATGATAGTCGTAATTGCTAGAGAAAAGGAGAGGAGAGAGTCTGTTCAGAGAGAAAACAAATAATCATTGTAGGATCGGGTCATTCTTGATCGTTTATACTTAAGGTAAGATCGACGCACTAACTTATATGACATTACCTTTTTTTTTGTTGGAAGGTGGAATTCCAAGATAGAATGTGCTCTAATTTCCATAAAACGATGAAATGTTCGAGAAATTTTTGGGTGATCCGGGATCACCACCTCACTTTACCTATGTGGTGCTCCGAACCAATCTAATGCTGTCATGTGTAATGTATTCATTTATTTTTAATTTACTTTTCTCTCTCCTTGCCAATCTTCTTCCTGCCAAAACCTTCCATCTTCATTAGGGCTGGCTATTTGGTCTAGGATTTTTGGTTTTATCCGAAATCGGACCATATAACCCGGACCGAAACCGGACCTGGACTGGATAGCAAACAATACAATCCAATCTTTGGGCCTAGATTTGAGGTAAAAAACCGTTTGGGACCGGAACGAAATTTGGATAAAGACCGGATAAGAGAGCCCAACACCCAAACTTTAACCTCCTTACCCTTTCAAGCCTTAGGCCACTCAAATCCCCCCTCAGCCCACTCAAATCCCCACATGCTCAATCTAAAATCACGACCGAATTGGGACCGGACCGGTTCAAGACCGGACTGGATCAAGACTGGACTGTATCCAATCCAATCTTTGGTCCTTATATTCTCGAAAAGACCGAACCAAGACCCGATCAATTCGAGCAAATTGTAACCGGACCGAACCGTATAGCCACCCTAATCTTCATCCTTTTGTGTTCTGTACAGAGGAAAAAATGGGAAACCACTCTCTCCCTTTCTCTGGAATTTCCCAGCTTTTAATGATTACTAAATAATAGAACTCATCCATCAATACATGATTGGATGTTTTAAACAAGAATCCATGGGTATGACAGCATCATCCATCCTCATTAGGTAAAGGCTTTTTTTCAGAGACATCAACAATGGCGGATAATCGATAGTTCACTGCTTTCTCGTCTTTGAAATTTTCATTTAATCATCTAAGAAAAATTCCATTGAATAGATCAAGGATGAAATTCATTAATGACAGATAATAAACAAATAGACGATGAATTCGATTAGGAAACCCAATTCAATTATCTGCTAATAGACTACTGATTTCCGGAGAAGGATAAATTGATTATCTCAATTTATTCTTCCTGTACGGGATGGGATATGGTGACAACCCCCTTAGAGGGTTTTGAGTTTGACAACCCACCTCCTCACCATTGGATACGCCCTCTCTCCTGTCTCTTTTTTTTTAATTGATGGTTAAGATTGAACGAATGGTATTTTTGGAATGGAAAAGATTTACCACACACAATCATTTACCCTCCCATATAAATTAAAAATAAAACCCTAAATTCTCCCACCCCCTCTCCCCCTCCTCCCTCTCTCACGCAGCCATCCTCCACCGCAGCAGTCCTCCACCGTCGCAACCCTCCACCGCAGCCGCGTCCTCCATCGCAGCAACCCTCCACCGCCGGCGCCAGCGCCGCCACCCGTCTCCCGCAGCAGCCCTCTACCGCCGTCGTCTCCGCAATCCCCAGTTTCCCTCCACCACATGCCGTGGCAACGTCCCCTCGACCACCGCGGCGCAATCATCCTCTTCCCGTCCTAGCTCTCTCGCCGCCCTTCGTCTCCCACCACTGCAGCCGTCGCGATTTCACCCTCTTCCCCTACCTCTCTCTCCCGTCACCGACTCCCCTTTTCTAGATCTGGTTTTTTAGTGGTATCATTTTTCTTCTGGTACCGTACCAGTTATAGTGGTACCTTCCAGTACCATCAGGTAGCTGGTAGTGGTAGCGTACCACTATCATCTGGTACCACTACCATCGGTTTTTTTTTGTGTTATTCTCTACTGGTACCGCTACCAATGCTACGCTATCAGTGCTAGTGGTACGCTATCTAGCACTGGTAGCGTACCACTAGCACCGGTAGCGCTACCAGTGCTAGTGGTACGATACAATATGGTAGTGGTAGCGCTGTACTGGTAGCGTACCACTAGCGCTGGTACATTTTAGTGATGGCAATGCGGCGGGGCGGGGCAGGTACCTCAATTCCCATGCCTCGCCTCACGCTTCTACTGGTACGGGGCTGTGCGGGTCGACCCACTCTTACATGTTGTTCAAAAAAAAATACAACTAAATTTTACCTTTTACAATAAAACGTAGGGAAAAACACTTTAAGAATGAAAAATATTGATAATAGAATGGACAATTGAGCCTAACAAGTTGAAAGATCGACTCTAACTAGTTGAAGAAAAGTCAAAATAGGAGAAATATCTATAGATATTGTAAGAAATTGAGATAAATGAGTCTAGAACGGGGCGGGGCAGGGCGGGGCGGAAGAAGATACCCATGCCCCGTCCCACGCTATTGCGGGTCGGATAATACCCGCCCCATCGCGGGTCATGTCGGGTAATACCCGCGGGGCGGGTTGAAATTGCCATCACTAGTACATTTTTTAACGCACTGGTAGCGTACCACTAGCACTGGTATATTCATTACCAGTAGACTAATGGATTGGTACACTTTTTAACGCACTGGTACATTTTTTCAGGTTGCCGGAGGGAGTCTGCCGGAGAGAATTCGCTGGAGAAAAAGTCTGTCCGTCGATGCGGAGTGGCCGCTGGAGAAAGGAAGAGAGAGATAGATAGAGATATTAATGTATAGGATTTAAATTTCAAAAAAATTGTATTTAATATGGGTTTTTAATTCCCAATATAATTAATACAAAAAAGGTAATTAATATATTCCTTTTTCATACCCAAAATACACTTGGTTGTCAATCTGATAACCCCTTAGGGGTTGTCACCGTATCCCGTCCCTTCCTGTACTGTAGAGAGTGATGAAGATGGAAGGTTTTGGGATGAAAAATGAAATAATGGTAGAATTTGATTTGCACGGAGCTAGGGATGCCAATGGGTCGAGTCGGGGACGGATAGTGCATATCCGTTATCCTACGCAAAGTAGTTCGGGTTTTGCCCATACCCATACCCACATAAGAAACGGGTAAAAAATCCAAACCGTGCCAATACCCGTTCGGGTTTCGGATATCCACGGTTATCCATGGGTAATAGTTTCTCTTTATAACTCCAACCAATATGTTAATATTCACACGTATTCTCAAGTTACGTAAGACGAAAATTACGACAATAATTCACTAGAATGAGGAAAATTAATTAAATCAACACAATTTCTTAAAAATATTATATTTATATGCTAAATATAAAATATGTAAGAGAAAAGTATTGATTATTTCTAGACAAAATACATTTGCATGTGTGTAATCAGGCGGGTTCGGGTTGGATAGTGAGAAAACTATGCCCACCCATTACTCGCAATATTCGGGTTCGAGTTTTACCCGTACCCACTAAAAGTCTTTCGCAATCGAGTTTTACCCTACCCGATTAGGCCAGATTCAAGCGGATATCCATGGTTACGGATATTTTTGCCATCCCTACTCGGAGCAGCAGCTAGGTAAGGTGAGGTGGTGATCCGGATCACCCAAGAATTTCCGGAAATGTTCCAATTTTAATATCTCATTGATCTGAACATCAAATTGGGATTTGTTGTTGATGAAATTAATATGAACCATATTTCATAGTATTCCATACTCCGCCAACCAAACCGCCTTTACAAGATTTTAAACCCACGCGACCCACGACATAGTAATCATAGGGAACCACTAATAAGGATGGCAATCAACATCATCTCATTTATCTTTGAGAAACTAAACATCATCTCATTTACTTCCCAAAACCAACTTAGCCCCTACAAACAAATCAGACAACACACATTTAATCTGTACCAGACCATACACTACTTAGTACACTAATTAATACAGACATGTTCCTTCTCTCTAGTCCCTCTCATGCATGTCTCAAAAACGGGTTTACAATATCGGAGGAACACTTTCCACAGTTTAACCCGGATTGTGCCAAAACTATGAAAGACAACAGAAAGCCCAAAGAAGAGGTCCAATACGAACCAATATTTATTTATTGTCCTCATTGTTCCAGCTGTTAGTTTCTGCAAATTTCTCGCAAAAGTCTACAAATCTGCCGATTTTTATATAGGGTTTTTCTGTGAGAAAACCTGTGATGAATTGAGATAGATTGCACTTTTAACTTTTATGGACACAATTTTAAAGAAATGGCTCAAACCTCTTCAAACAAAGTTCGAATGAGGGTGTTTGATGATGATTTTTGGAATGAAAACTAAATTAAGTTACTCCTAATCTTATGAAGGTTCAGCGGGAACTCCAAACTACGACTATGGCTACATTTAAAAACTTGAAATAGGCGTCAGTTGTGTGGTTTACTGGTTTTGGTAACCTCTCTCTGTGTCGACCCTTCCTCCTATTTATAGCATGGTTCAAAAAGGCACGCTTAACCTTACGCCTAGGCACGCCTAGACGCAAGGCAATGGCAAAACGCCTCGCCTAGAGTTTTCGCGCTTAATTAGATACGGGAACATGTAAACGGAATAAGTTAACATATAAGTCTCTCCTAAACATTATTTAGATGGAGTTAGAAAGTCAATATTAAAGGAGAAAATTAACATCAACTACGAAATCAATTTTCTATATCAATTTTTTCAATAGGTTAAGAACTTTGCGAGCTATTGAGCATTGATTCTATAAATTCGTAAGCTATGTTTATGTCATTAAGTGTTGAGTAAGTTATTAGTCATTTTAGCTTAAGTGAGGATGTGTTGCAGATTATTATTTCATTCATCATGCAATGCGAATAGCTATTTTTCTTCTAATGCCTAGGCACGCTTTGCCTACGCCTAGGCGAGCAAGGCGCTAGGCAAAGTCTCAACGCTCGCATTACGCCTAGCGCATTTTTGAACCTTGATTTATAGTCATGGAGAGATAACTGTCGTAGAAAACCGTCTCTTGGATAACTCCCAAAAAGAACTGCTCTCTACTTCCTCGTAGTGGTGTTTACTCCTTCAATCGCCTAGGTGCTTTCCTTATAACCGCACTTGATCTTGGAGTGTAGCTTGCCTCGCCTAGTTGTGTTTCAAATCTGATGTCATGCTAGTCTTTTGATAAGCATGTGGTGTCTCACAAAGGGTGTTATGGTCCTCTTGCCAGGCGGCCATGGAATTCTTACTCATGTCTATGGCCTTCTTGTCTCGTGGTCATATAGTTGTTATTCATGGCCATGACCCTCCTTTCTCAGCGCTATGAACCTCTTGGAACTTAACCCCATGACTAGTGATATAATGCTCCACCACCACATCCTCATCATTCCGGTCTATGGCCCCTCTCATGAGGCGACATAGGCCTCTCAATCATGCACATAGCCCCTCTCACCTTCCTCGCGTATGTATAAGACCGAATTTATTCTATTTCTAAAAAAGGATTACTAATCCTTAACTTTTCGAGGAATCCTTCATCAGTAGTTGTGAATGATCGATTTTTCTCAATCTTTTCGACCTCTTGGTTGGATTAGACTTATAATATTTCAGAGTCGTCCGAACTTGGTCATGAGGCGGGCATAACTTCTTCATTCGTGGGCTCGCGGACATGGACTTCTCAGTCATGTTTGTGGCCCTTCCCGTGACACGCATGGCCTTCTCATACTTAGTATTTTTTTTACTCTTTCAGATCCGCTTCTCGTGGCATGATCACGGACTTGAGAATTTTTTCCATGTCCATAGTCCCTCTCATTGAGATGACATGTACTCCAAGATTGTAAACAAACATGACCCTCTTTGTTGAAGCAACACATACTTCTAGATTCTAGACGGATATGACCTTCTTTGTGAAGCGGCACATGCCTTTAGAAGAATTGTGTTGGGTGGTTGTACGCATGTAATTATCGATATGTTTTATCGATTTAGTTCTAATTTGTGCTAGTGGGATAAGGTAATTTGGGCTTGTGTTATAATTTGGAAGAATTGTTTTGGTGGCTGTTTAATGGTTATATTTTCAATTTCAAATGTAATGTAATGATTCACTTAAATAATGATATTTCTAAGCTCGAAATCGAATGGGTATGTTTATCATTGTTGCAGGAAGCTAGAAAACGTTTTGAAATCCTCTGAAACCTTCTTCGAGCATCGCGATGGCCGCCGTCGCCGATGGAGCCACGCCTGGCGCCGTTGGTGGCGGCCAGTCTTGGGCTTCCTTATTTCCTGTATCGGCAAAGGTCAAGTTGGATTTCTATGAGCCTGAGTTTGTCAACGGTTCTCTTCGGATCCCCAAATCAGTGGTTGAGGAGGGTACGAAGAAATGGGAACATAGCCTTGTCGGTCAATTCCTAGTCGCTCCGCCTTCGCTTTCGGCACTGAGGTTCTGGGCTAACTGGATTTGGAGCCGGGATGGGGAGGTCAAGGTTTCGCTCCTTGATGACAAGCTAGTCCTCTTTCAGTTCCCGTCGGAGGCGACCTGTCGATGGGTGTTTGAAGGGGGGCCGTGGCACTATCGTGAGAAGATCATCTGTCTTCGGCGCTGGATTTTTGGGATTAGAGCGCTGGAGATTGACAATTCAGCTATTCCGGTTCGGGTCAGGCTGTCTGGGTTACCTGCTGAATTGGCGATGAGAGAAGGATTGGGTCGAATTGCAAGTTCTATTGGTAAGCCTCTCTGTATGGATCATTCTACTGCGCATAGGGAGAGAGTAGGAACTGTTCGTGTATGTGTGGAAGTTAGGGCTACTAAGCCTAGAATTGACAAAATCAGCATTGCCCCTGATGACATGTCTGCATTTACCATTGATATTGAGTATTGTGGCCTACCCCGCTGTTGTACTGCCTGTAGAGTGTTTGGATATGACTGCTCCCTTCCTCCTGCTGGGGTTCCCACTAAACGTGTGTGGCATCGTAAGCAAGCCAATGTGGCTGAATTGGGACAGTCTGAGGTTGCTGTTACAGAGAATCAAATGCTGGAGAAAGTGGTGCAGGATACTCCTGAGAAAGCTGCGCCGGTTTCAGGAGAGGGGGTTGCTATTGATAAAGGTAAACAAGTACTGGTAGAATCAACCCCTCCTGTTACCCCTAGTGCTCTGCCCTCTCAAGAAGAATTTAACAAGGTGATCAATGGTGCTAAGCCGAGGTCTAATCTGAAATTACCCACTTCTGTGCTGCATTCTAATGCATTTGAATTACTATGTGGCCAAAGGGATATTGTTTTACAGGCCCCTCCACGAAAAGGGGGTAGAGATGGGCTTCGAAGCTGATATGATCCCAAATTGCCGACCATTCACGTCACAATTACTTGACAAAGAAGCTATCGAAGTTGGGAAGAAGAAGGGCAGAATTTGGTTAAGTCAAAATCCATGTTCAGGGTACATACTTTGGAGGCATAGTTCTCTCAATTGGCTTGGTATAAATTCAAGTTTAATGGCTTGTTTTAAAGATAACGTTTCCATGTTTCCAATGGTATGCTTTGAGGATCCAGAAGATATCATTAAGGTTGTTTACCAAGGCCTCAAATTTGCTACCTCAAAACTGGAAAACTGCCAGAAAATGGCTAAGGCAGAAAACTGTTTTGTGAAGCCTACTTTAGAGCTCAGTTCAAGAAGCATGGATCTGATTCGAGACCAAAGGCTTCTACAACATGAAACTAGGTATGTTTGTGAATAAAGGAAAGGAATTGGATGAAGAATTGGAGTTCGGGAAGGCCTCGAACGAAAGGCGTGAAGTTAGTACGAAAGCTGCCTTTTGACTGTTTTGCGGGCAGCTTACTTGTGCTTCAAGAAAGGAAGTTTGTGTCCGAATTTTGTAACCTTTTTAGAGTAGAATTTTACCTTATTTGTTTCCTTGTTCATCTAGGTTTGTATTAGGTTTTCTTGGCTATAAATAGCCTTCTATTTTCGTTGTAAAAAGGAAGACTTTGTTGAATAGAAAAGAAACCGTTTGGTTTGTGCAAGTTGCGACTTGTTTTGGGTTTGGTGGATTCCAAACTTGCTGAGCTTGTGTATCGATTGAATAGTCACTTCAATCGTGGTCGAGCAACTACCCTTTTATACCAATCGAGCTATCCCCAGGTGTGGATTTGTCCTTTTGGTTCCGTTTTATCCCAAGTTCGTATTAAGAACGCTTCGTTCTTGATTCGAGCTCAATCGATTCTTCGATTGAGTCGTTTGCTGCGTTACTTTGATAACATACACCCCCCAGGGGCGTATTAAGTTGTATCAGAGCCCCGTTCAAATCAGGGCGAGGAAGGAGGCTGTGTTTCGTGCGAAAAATCAGCTTCAAAAACAAAGAAAAAAAAAAAAAAAGAATCGATGGCAGCAGAGCAGCTAGCAGAATCGATGTTCTTCACCCGTTGTTTAATTCAGGATCAGCTGGGTTTGGTGCTCGTTGATGGAGGCAGGGAGAGCAATCTGATTTCCCTCCGGGTTGTCAGCAAATTGAAGCTTCCATTGCAGCCGCATCCAGCTCCTTACGTCGTACAATTGCCGTATGAAAATAAATTCAACATTGTCGTTTCCCAGGTGGTCGTGACGTTCTCGATAGGAAAATACGAGGATCAAGTCCTATGTGATGTGGTTCTTAACCTCCCCAGCAGCATTGTATTAGGACAACCATGGTTTCATGATCGACAAGTTCGGTTTGCAAGCCGAAGTAAAAGATTTCGCCTGCAGAATGGAAACAAGGTGATCGTTTTGATTCCTTTGGCTCCAGACGCAGCTGTCGAAGACCTGAAGGTGATGCAGCGACTCCAAGAAGCGCACCAGTCGTCATTGGTAGCCAAGGCGTCGTCGATGGGAGGCGAATCCGCACAGACTCTTCTCGGCAATAAAAGTCCCTGTTTTGTGCCGCCGAAACAGAGTCTCGACTCCGGACGACTTTCGGGCGATGAAGAATCGCATACGATGCACGATGGTGGACCAGACGCATCTCTAGAGGTGGAAGGAAGGACAGAGAGTCGAGGAGGAGGCCTGGATAAGACTGAAATCGCACGTCCCTCTCCGACCTCAACGCCTGCCAATTTCCGAACTTTCCCGGAGAAACAGAGGAGGAGAGAGGACGATTTGGGTGGAATTTCCGGCGAAGATTCGACACTCACCAACGGTGCTGGAGAAACCCCTAAGGCTCCAGAAACGTCAGAAGAAGATCCATTGGAGTCGAACGTAACTGGAATTGAAGACTCGCCCCTCACAAAATTGGCTCTGTTCGTGAAGGAAAAGGGCGACGAAGACCCTCTCTTGGCGGACACATCCAGCGAGGATTCGAACCCAACCACCAGTGTCGAACCATTGAATTCGACCCCTAGAACATCCTTGTTAGCTTCAATGGAGGCGGACAGACCTGAAATTCCACAATTGAGTTTGACAAAATCGCCTCTGTTTGGGAAGGAAGACGGCGACAAGAATCCTCTCGTGGGTAGAGCAAATCAGCTTGAATCGAGCCAATCCAGCGCTGCAGCAACATCGAGGGAGGTCGTAGGAACCTTTAGAAGCAACCGATTTGTCTCGAAGACGCCTGAACCACAAATGCCCAATTTCCAATTGAGATTTCTGGGTTTCGAGTTTTTGAATGTGGCCGACGGCGGGAATGTAAAAATCGACGAATTGGCGAATCGAGGTTGGGGAAAGTTTCAAAGCTTCATTTGGAAGCCTGGAGAAGAGCTTGGAGTCGTTGAATTGGATTGGGAATGTCGGCATTCAAAATCCCCAATTCAGTCGAGCAAGAACATGTACGCAGAAGAAGTCCGACGACCTGGAAATTGTGCTGATCGTGTTCAAGTGATATTGGACGTCGGGGAAGGTTTTTTTCAAGTTCAGGAAGGATTCCCAACAACTCTGCAAGCTTCAAAGTCCCTGGAGAAACTTGAAGGTGAAATTGAAGGCGTAATTTTTATGCCGAAAATTGAGTTTGAGCAGTCTTCTTTCGATCCAATTTGGGATCAATTCTGTGAACGGTTTGAGCAACGAAAGGCTAAAGTGTTGAGGGAAACACTTTTTGAAGAGGGAGGGCCTGATATGATCCCAAATTGCCGACCATTCACGTCACAATTACTTGACAAAGAAGCTATCGAAGTTGGGAAGAAGAAGGGCAGAATTTGGTTAAGTCAAAATCCGTGTTCAGGGTACATACTTTGGAGGCATAGTTCTCTCAATTGGCTTGGTATAAATTCAAGTTTAATGGCTTGTTTTAAAGATAACGTTTCCATGTTTCCAATGGTATGCTTTGAGGATCCAGAAGATGTCATTAAGGTTGTTTACCAAGGCCTCAAATTTGCTACCTCAAAACTGGAAAACTGCCAGAAAATGGCTAAGGCAGAAAACTGTTTTGTGAAGCCTACTTTAGAGCTCAGTTCAAGAAGCATGGATCTGATTCGAGACCAAAGGCTTCTACAACATGAAACTAGGTATGTTTGTGAACAAAGGAAAGGAATTGGATGAAGAATTGGAGTTCGGGAAGGCCTCGAACGAAAGGCGTGAAGTTAGTACGAAAGCTGCCTTTTGACTGTTTTGCGGGCAGCTTACTTGTGCTTCAAGAAAGGAAGTTTGTGTCCGAATTTTGTAACCTTTTTAGAGTAGAATTTTACCTTATTTGTTTCCTTGTTCATCTAGATTTGTATTAGGTTTTCTTGGCTATAAATAGCCTTCTATTTTCGTTGTAAAAAGGAAGACTTTGTTGAATAGAAAAGAAACCGTTTGGTTTGTGCAAGTTGCGACTTGTTTTGGGTTTGGTGGATTCCAAACTTGCTGAGCTTGTGTATCGATTGAATAGTCACTTCAATCATGGTCGAGCAACTACCCTTTTATACCAATCGAGCTATCCCCAGGTGTGGATTTGTCCTTTTGGTTCCGTTTTATCCCAAGTTCGTATTAAGAACGCTTCGTTCTTGATTCGAGCTCAATCGATTCTTCGATTGAGTCGTTTGCTGCGTTACTTTGATAACATACACCCCCCAGGGGCGTATCAGAAGCAAAGGGGGGACCACTAAGGTGGTTGCTTCTCGTAAATGACGCTGCTTATATGGAACACAAGGGGCTTTAATGGCCCCTTGAAGCACAATGCAGTGCTTCGTTATCTTAGAGTACATAGAGTTTCTATTTTTGCTTTGCTTGAAACTAGGGTGCAAAATAATAAGAGGATTGAGGAGATTCGTGGTAAGTTTGTTGATTATCAATATGTGGATAATTACTCAAAGCACAAGTTGGGTAGGATCTGGGTTGCGTGGAATGATGATGTTAATGTGCAAGTGTTAGCTGCGGAAGAGAATTTTATGCATATGATGGTTTCAATGAGGCAGGGGGCTCAGTTCTTCCTGACTGTAGTTTATGGTTCTAATGATGATAAGGGTAGAGAAGTTACATACAAGCAATTGTGTTCATGGAAGGTGCATGGATTCCCTTGGGTTGTAGGTGGGGATTTCAATGCGATTCTTGATTCATAAGAGGCCTCAAATGTAGTTTCTATCTCGGGAAGTATACTTGCCTTTCGAGACTGGGTAGCATAGATGGAACTGGTGGATCATACAGCTTCCGGCCCTCTGTTCACTTGGTTCAATCACCAACAAGATAATCCTATTGCTCGTAAACTGGATAGACTGATGGTCAATGTCGAGTGGTTGGAGAAATTTACTGAATGTGTGGTGGAATTCTTAGCTCCTGACTTCTCTGATCACTGTGGAATTTTGACTGTACCTTGTGTTCCAGAGAAATCTTACCTGAAGCCATTCAGATTTTTCGATATGTGGTTTGCTCATGCCTCTTTCTCATCTATACTTGAATCATGTTGGGGGTAAGAGGTGAGGGGGACAGGTTTGTTTGTTGTGAAACAGAAGTTATATCTTCTTAAGAAAGAACTCAAAAAGTTGAACAAAGCAGAATTTTTAGACATATCCAATAGAGTTAAAGAGAAAAAGAGGGTGCTGACTAACAAGCAGCTTCAAGCTCTCCAAGTCCCTTCTGAAAGGCTTTTTGAAGAGGTTCATTCCCTGACTGGTGAATATGTGGAATTACAAAAAGCAGAGGAAGCTTTCTTCAGGCAGAAATCCTGTATCAACTAGCTTACTCTGGGGGACACCAACTCGGGGTTTTTCCACAAGACTGCTTGTATTCGAAATGCTAGGAAAAAGATCAGGAAAATAATATCTCATACAGGTGTGGAGCGACAGACATGAAAGATATTGCTGATGAAGCTGTTTTCTTCTATAAGGATCTCTTTGGTACTATCAATGAAGATGTGAGTGTTGACAGTGATCTTATTAAGAGTTGCTTGTGTGAGGAGCTTACTGATGGAGATAAAAGAAAGCTTTGTAGGTTGGTGTCTGGGGAGGAAATTAGGCAGGCCCTGTTTGACCTGAATCCCACCAAGGCACCAGGGCCTGATGGCTGGACAGCAGGGTTCTGTCAGAGAAGTTGGGGGCTTATTGGTCCTGATATCATAAAAGGGGTTCAGGCTTTCTTTCAAGAGGGGATTCTCCCTAGAGGTATGAACTCTGCCTCATTGACTTTGGTTCCAAAGATCCCAAATGCAGATAAGCTTCCTTCCTTTCGACCTATTGCTTGTATAAATATCCTTTATAAGATAATTGCAAAATTCTTAGCTAATAGGTTGAAGAATGTTCTTCCTACTCTTATTAGTAGAAATCAATCAGCCTTTATTCAGGGACGTAGTATTTTGGAGAATATATTAAT